TGATATTGTAATATTCCAGTGATATTGTCTGATATATCGCTCATCTGTTAAGTCAAAACGCAAATATTTTCGGTAATCATAGCTTCAGAATCATAAATTTTATAAGATTTGTAAGATGCTATAAACCATAATTGCTAAAAAGTTTTTATTAAAATCAGTATCTTATCATTATCATTTTTATAATAAAAACACAGATGTAATATTAACGTATATATACAGGGTGTTTGATAGCTGATCATGCAGACGAAAGTTGGAGATAGATTGGGTGTAACCGAGAAGAAAAGTCATGTACCATAATGTCAAATTGCCAATAGTTATCGAGTTATTAATTAAAACATGTGAGCCAACGAGCGCGTAGAGAGCGGAGGGCGACCGCAGTAAGCACGTAGACATTTGATACAGGCGGAGTCAGCGAGAGACGGTTGGCGAGCGCGCGCGGCGAGGGGCAACGTAAGCGACAAGAGGCTATCGCGCGCGACGAGGAACGAGCGAGCTTTTTCTTTATAGCTTTTTCCTTATAGCTCGCTAGCTCCTCGTCGTTCGCGCGATCGCCTCTTATCGCTTACGTTGCCCCTCGCCGCGCGCGCTTGCCTACACTGCAACTCGCTGATTCCGCCTGTATCAAATGTCTACGTGCTTACTGCGGCCGCCCTCCGCTCTCTACGCGCTCGTTGGCTCACATGTTTTAATTAATAACTTGGTAATAGCACCATCAATAGCGTGACTATAAACTTTGAGCTAACAGATATTAAAGAAATCGCTAATAATTCTTTTCGGGAAGAATTTTTTTAAGAGTTTTTGGGTAAGCTTTTTACAATTTGACCATTTAGATCTAAACACAACGGCGTATTTTCTTCAGTCTGTCTTTTATGAAAATCATTGATTTCTTAAAAAAAATTGTTATTTTATACCGGAAACTACAAAGATCGCATTATTAACATTTGTACCTTAAAAATATGTGGGTGGTTTTTTTTCTAAATTTTTTTTCAATATGGCGGACTCAACATTGCAGTCGAAATCACGAATTTCATCTTATATCGATTTTTCTAACGTTTTTTCACTTTATAATGCTGATTTATTCAATCTGTCTGATATATCACTCCGCAACATTGTTATAATATTCCTGCGATATTGTAGATTGATGTATCACATTGAAGTATTACTGCGATATTCAGAAATATTACGTAGCGGTCTATCATGCTGGAATATAGCGGCAATATTTCTGTGATATTGCAATGAGATTTATCATCTCGCAATATTGTCCCAGCAAACAATTTGGTAGCAAATTGTCACCAAATTGGTACCAAACTTGTACAAAGTTTGCTGTCAAATCCGGTGCCATCTGTGTCCTCAATAGCATCGGAATTTGCTAGCAAAGCTTGTATATATATTTTGATGCCAATTTGGGGCCAAATAATGAGCAAGGCTTGCTGACAAAACTATATAGAAAATTGGCGCCAAATAATGAGCAAGACTGGCTGACAAAACTCCACAGCAAATTGGCGTCAAGATCCCAGCAAGGCTTGCGGACAAAACATCACACCAAATTGTCACCAAATACCGAGCAAACTTTGGCGATAATACTCCACAGCAAATTGACGCCAAATACCGAGCAAAGCTTGGCGACAAAACCTTGCAGCAAGTTGACGTCATATACCGAGCAAAGCTTAGTGACAAAATTCCACAGCAAATTGGCGCCAAATATCGAGCAGATTCTGCCACATTCATTTATTACACCCCTCCTACTTCAACCAGGTAGGTTAGGTTCAAGTAAAGCAAGGAGTACAGATTTTGGCCAAGTATATAATGTACAATGCAAAAGCAAATGAATTTATTAGAATCATTCATTGTTTACGTACAGCTGGAAATGACTTCTGATAATGCATTTGCTTGTCAATTATATATTATGCACGAATCTGTATTCCCCGCTTAATTATTAAGTAAAATCAAATATGTTAATAAATTTTTATTAATATTTTACAAATTTATTATACTTAATGATTTACTATTATTATTGTAACAATTTTTTTTAATTTGTTACAATGTCGAAAATACACTAAAATATAAGGCTAATATTACATTTGTCGTACGACAATCTTTTCGAATATGTTGATTAGTTAACAAAGAGAATATTTCTAGGATTGCTCCGCGTACGCCAATCAATGTATCCGAAAAGCTTGTCGTACGGTACATGTAATATTAGCCTAAGTTGGCACTAAAAAGTACCGATTCAGATATTGGCATTCAAAAATGTCTTTTATTGCACTGAGGTGCTCCCGTTATGTTTTAAAAATAGGCGCTGAAAAGTACCGATTTACTTCTCTTTCTTCGAGAAGAGAACGTGTGGTATGTGCGTGCGTGTGTATGTATTGCGACGCTTCCTTCGAAGCGCCGACAAACCGCCGTCGGTCCGTGCGCCGCGGTCTTGCACCAACCGGATGTTGGACGCCAGGTGCAGCGGGCTGCACCACTCACCAACGCGAAGTTTACCCGCGGCGCGCGAATCCACCGGGTCCGGTAGCTCGGGGTTGATTCGAGTCGGCAGACGGGAAGGGTTCGTCGGAAATCGGGAGGCGGAACACACTAAGAAGGAAATAACCAAAACGGCCTATTTGGCGAGACTTAAATTTATTCGGTAATACCGGAAGACGGTAACTTCCGGTTCCTCGCGATACGGTACACGTGAGTTCGTTTCCGGTCGCTCCTACGCGAGGTCGATACCGCTCTTCATTTACAATGCATTTTCACGGGACGCGACACTGGACGGTACACCGGAAAAACAAATGGCAGGTGGACGGTCTTACAGTGACGGGAACCTCCCGGCGGCGGCGTGGTCCTCGATGGTTGACGGGTCGGTCGGTCCGGTCACACGGCCAGCGGCAGCTAGGTCCTCTCCGGGATCTTGGCCTCCGAGAATGCACGGCCCTCCTCCACTTTCCGGTAACGGTCGAAACTCCCAATCTCCTTTCTCCTTCGCACGCGGAACACCCAGCCTCCTTTCTCTTTTGCGCGCGGCACACAGATCCTTTTCTGGCGAGCGACGCATAATTCTCTCTCTTTTGCGAGCGGTACACAAATCTTTTCCTGTTGCGAGCGGTACACAAATCTTTCTCGTTTGCGAACGGTAATTCGAATTCTTACTCGTTCGAAGCCAAAAGCGAATCTGAATCTTTTCTTCGAGGCGAAAAACTCAACTCGTCATCGAGAGAGAAAAACGGATCTTCCCGTCTCTCGTTTTTTTCCTGTTATTCCTTCTTTTCTTTTTCGTCCGGGAATCCTTCCGCGAATTCTGTTGACAATCCGGACGCCCTGTCCGGATGCCCTGTCTCGCTCGCTCTCTCTCTCTCTCTTTCTCTCTCTCTCTCTCTCTCTCTCTCTCTCTCTCTCTCTCTCTCTCTCTCGCTCTCTCTCTCTCTCTCTCTCTCTCTCTCTCGCTCTCTCTCTCTCGCTCTCTCTCTCGCTCTCTCTCTCTCGCTCTCTCTCTCTCTCTCTCTCTCTCTCTCTCTCTCTCTCTCTCTCTCCCTCTCTCCCTCTCTCCCTCTCTCCCTCTCTTCCTCTCTCTGAGCATTTACAGCAGGGAATGATCCCTGCTGTAAATGCTTTGCTACATTTCTCTCTTACATGACCCTATTTCTGTATTCTTTCATGAATGTAGGCATTTTTCAGTGATATTCAATATATACATATTAAACAACATACCGTGAAATGTATTGAATATTACAGAAAACTGTATACATTGGCTGCGTTCAGAAGAACAAAATGATCAGTGAACGGTTAGTGATTCTCGTTCCTGATTGGCAAATACTTCTGGGCCTATGAAAAATATAAAATAATGCTCCAGTCACAGACAAAATAATCACTAAGCGCTCACTGATCACTTTGTTCTGCTGAACGCAGCCATTAACGAAATAATATTGAAATTGCGTCATATGTGAGGGAGAAATTCAGCTAAATATTTCCAACAGATGTATCACTCCTCACTGTTCAGATACCACACAATATTTACAAGATATTTTAAAAACATAGATGTTGGATATATTATAAATATTCTAATGTCTGAGATTTTCAACTATAGAAAAAATATGATAAATATCTAAAAATATTTATATTGTTCATACATCTTTTATAAATCGAAATTCTTTTTATAAACATACGTATGACAAACATGTTTAGATATTTATCATACCCTTTTCATGCCTGAAAATGTCGGACATTAGAATATTTACGAAATATTCAACATCTATATTTTCACAATATCTTGTAAATATTGCGTGTTTATTCAACAGTGCTATATACCTTATGTCGGGTCTTGCTGGTCCTGCTCCTCTTCCTCGTCTGCACGCTCGTCGCTTCATAAGCCGCGCTGTATCCTTGGGCCGGCTGCCGTTCTACGTTGATTACGTCCTCTGTGGCGGTGTCGTTCCTTCGCTGTCCGAAGAGCGTCTTGCATCTGTATTTGGAACTCGGGACGTTGAGGCCACTGAAATGTTCTCGAAAGCAATGTCGTTTTGCGGCTGAAATTTTTTTTTCGCATAATTTATACACCTATGTTTTGCTTTCCGGTATCTTGTGAAAAGTAATTTTGTATCCTCGTGTACAGATATTGTGTGTGTGAATAATATCTGTTTTACCTATTCATGTATTCATATTCTTAACCTCTTTTTCGCGACAAGTGTCAACAGCAAATGTAAAAAAGTCTTTTGAGAAGGACATATATAACCACCACTTTCTAAATAAAAGAGCAATGGTAAGACAATTACATAAGATTATGTTGTTATCATTTGATACAGGCACATAGTTTTACTTACAGATGGAAGAACGACCAAAGCGTATAATTACAAAACCAACAAGCTACCAGACAACATCATCAGATGAGGCTCCTCCAGTATACAAACGGGCTGCACCTGTGCCAAACACCACGGCAGGAAGCATCGAAGAGGACATCAGAGATATACAGGCCATCCTGGACAAGAATGCAAACAACGATATACATTTATTTGCTAATACTACACAAAACATATCATCGCGCACATACGCATATAATTCCACACACATTACTCCCACAGCATCTGTCCACCCAGCACAAGATACCGATTCATACTTCTCACACTACATGTACACCTCACGAAAATGAACACCTGTACTACACTAATGATACATATACTGAGTAGCAAGGTACTTCGCGCCCATGGACAACGCAGGAGCACACGCAGCATCAGTTCCATCAGGAGCGTCTATCTTACGAGCAGTACGAAGAGCGGCTACCTTATGGCCAACATGTACGAATAATACAGAAGGCGGACAATCGGTATGTCTTTGTGCGTATTTAAAAATATAATAGTAACGAAAATTGTAAAAGAATATTTATAAAAACGTTATTTTTGTGCACAGGGAGAACAACGATCGTTGGAAGCGCATGGAAAAGAGACTTACGTGAGTATGTACTATATACTGACAAAATAATTTATAAAATTATCTTTTTACCCTTTCTTCACAGGAAGATGGCCTCAGTGGCCTCAACGTTCCGAGTTCCAAATACAGATGCAAGACGCTCTTCGGACAGCGAAGGAACGACACCGCCACAGAGGACGTAATCAACGTAGAACGGCAGCTGGTCCAAGGATACAGCGCGACTTATGAAGCGACGAGCGTGCAGACGAGGAAGAGGAGCAGGACTAGCAAGACCCGACATAAAATATATAGCACTGTTGAATAAACACGCAATATTTACAAGATATTGTGAAAATATAGATGTTGAATATTTCGTAAATATTCTAATGTCCGACATTTTCAGGCATGAAAAGGGTATGATAAATATCTAAACATGTTTGTCATACGTATGTTTATAAAAAGAATTTCGATTTATAAAAGATGTATGAACAATATAAATATTTTTAGATATTTATCATATTTTTTCTATAGTTGAAAATCTCAGACATTAGAATATTTATAATATATCCAACATCTATGTTTTTAAAATATCTTGTAAATATTGTGTGGTATCTGAACAGTGAGGAGTGATACATCTGTTGGAAATATTTAGCTGAATTTCTCCCTCACATATGACGCAATTTCAATATTATTTCGTTAATGGCTGCGTTCAGCAGAACAAAGTGATCAGTGAGCGCTTAGTGATTATTTTGTCTGCGACTGGAGCATTATTTTATATTTTTCATAGGCCCAGAAGTATTTGCCAATCAGGAGCGAGAATCACTAACCGTTCACTGATCATTTTGTTCTTCTGAACGCAGCCAATGTATACAGTTTTCTGTAATATTCAATACATTTCACGGTATGTTGTTTAATATGTATATATTGAATATCACTGAAAAATGCCTACATTCATGAAAGAATACAGAAATAGGGTCATGTAAGAGAGAAATGTAGCAAAGCATTTACAGCAGGGATCATTCCTCACTGATTACTGGTAGTAAAGTTATATGTTCTTCAATTTTTCATTTTCGTTCCCTGTATTTTATTTGAACTCACCTATTAATCGCGTCCGTCATATATATTAAAAAATATAAAAAAGTTTCTAAATTTACAGATGCATGGGACGAGGATGAGGTCGAAGACAACACTCACGGTCGCAGGAGGTCGAGAGAGAGAGAGAGAGAGAGAGAGAGAGAGAGAGAGAGAGAGAGAGAGAGAGAGAGAGAGGGAGGGAGAGGAGGGTGCAACATGCACGCACACACACACGCACGCACATACCACACGTTCTCTTCTCGAAGAAAGAGAAATAAATCGGTACTTTTCAGCCCCTATTTTTAAAACATAACGGGAACATCTCAGTGCAATAAAAGGCATTTTTGAATGCCAATATCTGAATCGGTACTTTTTAGTGCCAACTTAGGCTAATATTACATGTATCGTACGACAAGCTTTTCGGATATATTGATTGGCGTACGCGGAGCAATCCTAGAAATATTCTCTTTGTTAACTAATCAACGTATTCGAAAAGATTGTCGTACGACAAATGTAATATTAGCCTTATATTTTAGTGTATTTTCGACATTGTAACAAATTAAAAAAAATTGTTACAATAATAATAATAAATCATTAAGTATAATAAATTTGTAAAATATTAATAAAAATTTATTAACATATTTGATTTTACTTAATAATTAAGCGGGGAATACAGATTCGTGCATAATATATAATTGACAAGCAAATGCATTATCAGAAGTCATTTCCAGCTGTACGTAAACAATGAATGATTCTAATAAATTCATTTGCTTTTGCATTGTACATTATATACTTGGCCAAAATCAGTACTCCTTGCTTTACTTGAACCTAACCTACCTGGTTGAAGTGGGAGGGGTGTAATAAATGAATATGGCAGAATCTGCTCGATATTTGGCGCTAATTTGCTGTGGAATTTTGTCACTAAGCTTTGCTCGGTATTTGACGTCAACTTGCTGCAAGGTTTTGTCGCCAAGCTTTGCTCGGTATTTGGCGTCAATTTGCTGTAGGGTTTTATCGCCAAGCTTTGCTCGGTATTTGGCGTCAATTTGCTGTGGAGTATTGTCGCCAAAATTTGCTCGGTATTTGGTGACAATTTGGTGTGATGTTTTGTCCGCAAGCCTTGCTGGAATCTTGGCGCCAAAGTTTGCTCGTTATTTGGCATCAAGTGGCGTACCCAAAGTGTGCTCGATGTTTGACGTCAATTTGCTGTCAATTTTGGTAGCAAGCGTTGCGTGTTACTTGGCGTCAATTTGGTATCATGTTATGTGCGCAAACTTTGCTACATAAATGCTATCAATTTGTGGACATTCTTTGATAAAACAAGGTTTATTCCAAATTTGTACTAAATTTGCCAACAAATCTTGTAAGCAAATCTTTGGCTTCATTTGGCAGAACAGATTTGGCTATCTGGGGTTGTAATGTTGTCACTATGTTGCCATACGATAGTCACATTGTAACATTGCAGTAATATTCCAGTGATATTGTAATCTGATATATCACTGTGTAATATTGTGATAATATTGCTGGAATATTATATAATAATCTTGTGATTTTGTAATATTGCTACGATATTATAATATTGCTTCAATATTGCTGCAATATTGCAGTGCTATGTGGGGACGTAAGATATAACAAGCTCACTTGAATTGTGCTTCCATGCGGTCCAAACGCTCCTCTATTTTTCTACAGTAAATATTACGATATATATTCTCTAAATCCGAATCAGTGAGATATATTGAAAATCAGTGACTATTCACTGATTTTTAGTAAATCTCACTGATTCAGATTTAAAGAGTAAGTAGAGAAATATTGTAAATAGTTAAATATTTTTGTCAATACAAAATTAATTTTGCAAATACGTTGAATTACTTATATGTATGTATATACATTAAATATACACTCAATATATATACATGAATAAATAATTCAATATATTTGCAAAATTAATTTTGTACACACCGATATTGTCCTTTATCATTGTTGATCTATTGAAATGCTGCAGTACAGCGCTTGTCTATATTTGAAGGAAGAACCTGAAACTTATTTAATATATTACTGCTGTTTTCAGACATGTCATATCGGTGCGTTGTAGATGCATGTTCTGTGTGAATGGGTGTATATTGTGATTCTGTATGTGTAGATGTTTACAATGTTACATATTGTGTAGAGTTTTGTTGGGATAGATATTGCGTTTGAATGGGTATGTGTGTATTCCGCGTACATGAGGAGTGTACGTCTGATTATTACTATCATTATTAGTATTATGAATATTATATGAGGAATTCTTCTGAAGAATTTCTCTCAACTCCCTTATATCCTCTTCCAAGGTTTTGCCAATGGATCCTTTTGTTTCCCTGCAGTATTCATTGACCCCTTCCGGGGTGACTCGTCAGAAGAAGTAGTCTGATATCTTGATGGTTTTATTATGGGTCGTTTTGGACGGTCCATTTGCCTATATAAGAAAATGCATAAAAATATACTGAGTACGTTAAATATATATACATATGTGTGTGTGTGTGTGTTTTACTTGTTTCATTTTTATGTCTTTTAGTTTAGTTTCTATATAATTATATTATATAGAAATTAAACATGTCAAATTATATATTTATAATTATATTAATTAATTGCAGTCATCTATGATTATAAATCATATATTTCAGTAAAGTAAACTATTCTTTTCCACATAGAGGAGAACTTGTGCAACAATTATTGTATGAAAATAAAAACTTTGAAAATAAAAAATAATAAAATAGTCTTAGTTCAATTAAAAAGGTAAAAAAATATGCTCTTGGTTAAAAAAAAAGTTTGCTTGTTATTATTTAGCAGCAAATAAATTTGAAATAATGAGAGAACGTTGAAAGAAAGAAATAAGAATTTATTACATTTTATCATTATATATCAGGTGTAGTAAAAAGAAATCCATTATTTTTCCAATAGATGGCTTTAGTTATCTGTATCTCGCGTTGTATAAGTCCGATCGGGTTCCACTAGATGGCGTTAGAAAGATGAGATTTCGTATTAAAAAAACTTTTCTGACAGTTTTGTAATTAGTTGACTCAGTTTTGTTTGAGCGCGCGTCAAAGATGGACACTAGCAAAGAGAAAATACGCTATATTTTACAGTTTTTCTTCGATAAAGGCGAAAACGCAAGCCAAGCGGCTGAAAATGTGAATAGTGTTTATGGTACTGATACTGTAACAGCCAATCACGCGCAATTTTGGTTTCGTCGATTCCGTTCCGGTAATTTCGATGTCAAAGATGCACCACGCACTGGAAGGCCAATTGTCGAAAATATCGATAAAATCATGGACATTGTCGAGTCCGACCGTTATGTAAGCACTGTTTCGATTGCCCAAGAGCTAAAGATTGCACAAAAAACCGTTTGGAACCATTTGAATAAGGCTGGATACTAAAAAGAAGCTCGATGTATGGGTGCCACACGAGTTAACGAAAAAAACCTCATGGACCGAATTTCCATCTGCGAATCGCTGTTGAATCGCAATAAAATCGACCCATTTCTGAAGCGGTTGGTCACTGGTGATGAAAAGTGGATCACTTACGACAACGTCAAGCGAAAACGGTCGTGGTCGAATCGCGGTGAGCCGGCGGAAACAGTGGCCAAGCTAGGATTGACTGCCAGGAAGGTTTTGCTGTGTGTTTGGTAGGATTGACAGGGAATTATCTACTATGAGCTGCTCCCCTACGGCAAAACTCTTAACTCGGAACTGTACTGTCAACAATTGGACCGTCTGAAGGAAGCAATCGCCCAGAAGCGGCCAGCTTTGGCCAATAGGAGAGGAATTGTGTTCCATCAGGACAACGCCAGGCCACATACATCGATAGTAACTCGCCAGAAGCTCCGGGAGCTTGGTTGGGAGGTTCTTATGCATGCACCTTATAGTCAGGACCTGGCACCAAGTGATTACCATCTGTTCCTGTCCATGGCGAACAATTTTGCTGGTGAAAAATTCGCTTCAAGAGAGGCTTGTGAAAATCGACTGTCTCAATTTTTTGCCAATAGGGACGAGGGCTTCTATGAGAGAGGCATAATGAAATTACCTTCAAAATGGCAATAAGTTATCGAACAAAACGGCGCATATTTGACCTAAATCGGATCATTCTAACTATGATAATTAAAGCCTTCAATTTCATGCAAAAATAATGGATTGCTTTTTACTACACCTAATATAATAGCAGAAATTATATATTTATCATATTCTAAGTAATTGTCATCGTCACTACTATTCCCATTTTCTGACATGCAATTCCAAAAAGGCATCTTATAACACTTTGCATGGATTTCCTTTATATGTACAGAGAAAATATTATTATCTAATGTGGAACATTTAAAGATGTACAGTATAGAAGAAGTAATACCAACGTCATAAAAATTATTTACATCCAAAAATTTTCTTACTACTAAACGATGTGAATTGTCAACTACTAAAATATTGACAATAATGCAAATAGAACCATCATTCAAAATACAGCAATTATCATGTTTGTCTAAGCTGAGCAAGATTCCATTGAATATGATCTTACGATATTGGCAAGAGTTTGAAAGAAGAAAGCGTGGAAGAGGGCCTACGTTATGCTCCATGAACACGCGAACTGCTGAATCCGTGCTCAAATAATCAGTTGCTGTATTTGCTTCTATCTTTGCCATTCTATTTGAAATTTGCTGCAGAGGAAGATCAGGTTTTCTACAATACTTTCGGAAAATTGTCATATTATTTTCATATGGGAAGGCAGAGAATGAATCAAGAGGACCTAGTTGCCGCACATCATTTGCAATATGAAGGGGACCGTGAATATTGTAGGAATTGAATGTTGAACCGTACATATTTTCACATCTCTCAACAAACTTTTGCAACGCTGCTTCTGCGAAATTCAGGTATATTTTTGACGATGACGTTGAAACTAAAATCCTTATTGCTGCATGAAGCAATAAAAAGTGTGTGTACATTTGCTGATTAAGAATACCGTATGTA